CAGCTTGTGTCACAAACCTGTATACCCATCACTCGACTCCGGTGTTCCAAAGTCTTGAGACTTCGTCTTGGCAAGCAATGATAAACCCCTCAGTTTCCGACTTCAATGCACCAGACCTCAAGAATGCAAAGCTTAGCTTTTTGGATAAGCCAGTGTTTTCAATGGTTTTAAAGAAAACACTGTGCAATGGCTTATCCGTATGTAGACGTATTAAATAGTCTACCTCTCCATTCTTTAAGGTGGTTTTGAGTCTTTGGCTGGTAAACTCTGTAATAGAGTTTTCCTGCCGCCGACTCTTGTCTAAAACTGAAAGAGGCCACGGCCTCCCGATAACGTGGGAAGTAGATCCGTTGGACAGACGCCTTAGGATGATGACTTCAGGATCGCGTCATCATCTTGCGGGTTTTCACGTCAATTTCACGCAGTTCATTCACATTCCATTTTTTCACTCCAAAGGAGTTAGTGTGTAGTGGGACGGCAAGCATATTTGTAGCAGCGACTTTGCTCTTTCCAGATAGCTCTGAATTCCAGATCTGTCTCAATCGATGCTGATGCCCTTTCTTAAGTTCAACCGTCGCACACTTATCCCACCCGAACTCCATCCCGATCGCATGAGTATACTCCTGTACTACCCGTAGAGCTTGTTCGAGATCTCTCTTCGTCAACGCGTAGAACCTGAGGTCATCCATATAGAAGAGTAACCCTATGCGTTCTGCGGCCGGGAGCACCGCACATGTATCCCTTTGTGTTCCGCAAAGCAACGGACAGCCGAAGTAGCGAAACACAAAAGAGGAGTGGGCTAAGGAAATCTCCCCTGAAACACTCCTCGGCGGAATGATACCAATTTAGTCGACACCTTTGTGGCACCGGTACCTACATATTGTAAATCGGGTCTTCCAGAGTGGCATCATTCCTGAAATGCACCTCGCTACGGAATCTGGCACCGCAAGGCATCTCAAAAGGTGGATAATAAGTTCATGAGAAGTTGTATCGAAGGCCTTGCGGTAATCTATCCAGGTCATAAAAAGGTTTCGCTTGTACTGGAAGGAGTCCTGTGTGACACATCGGTCTATTAGTAAGTTCTCCTTGCAGCCTGCTACACCCTTCTTTGACCCTCGCTGCTCGTATACCGCATTAAACACTAAACCCATGGCTTGGAGTATCCGCTTGTACAAGAGTCGAGTAAAAATCTTGCAACAAGCGTTTAAACATGTTATCGGGCGATAGTTCTTTGAGTCGGACAAGTCTCCATTCTTGGGGAGTAGGACGGTTTGCCCCTCAATAAACCAGGAAGGAATTGGCTGCCCCTCATTAACCCTGGAGTTAAACATTCGGGCTAGGGCCTCATGCGTTGATGGAACTTTTTTCTACCAATAGGTGGTAATTTCATCAGGCCCAGGAGCAACAAAGTTCTTAGCGCCCATAAGAGCACTTCGAACTTCCTCCACAGTTATTGATGGGCTCAGTGTGGAAACCCCCTCACGAAGGTTTCGCACTATGCCATGGCTGATGTGTCGGCGTTGAGCGGACCAGTTACCTCGGACACACCCCTCCAGAAGGTTTCCACCCTCTCAGTCAGCGGTTGGAGGATTGTCAATAATCCCCGGCGGCGCTTGAAATAGGCGACTTAGGTTTTCAAACAACAATTTGTTTTCCGAAAGCTCCTTCGCCCGCCGAATTAGATCTTGTTTGGCAGTCACTAACATCCGTATCCTTTCGCAGCACTGCTGCTTGATGGTCTGAAACAGTGCTTCGCTCAGTGTGTAGTGGGTGCGTCGCAGGTTGGCAGCTATGCGGCCCACTTTGGTGTCCTACCTGCCAATTTATATTCCACCAAACACTGAATACGAAATGCGTGCTGCCTTGCTGAGAGGATTTTTGCTTCCATCTTTTTCACTCAGCGTTGCGCCCTGTCAACGCAGGGATCCCTGGGCGACAAGGAGCAAGCTGCCTCGTAGACGGCACAATGAATACGCCAGATGTCAGCTTCTTCTGTTAGACCATTTAACAGCTCTTCGTTCACTCTAGCTAGGTCTTGTGGTTTCCGGAGTCTCTCTTCTAATGCTACGGGAGGCGCCTTTTCAGCTATATGTATCTGCGGTTCCTGTTCCTCAGGTACTGCCAGCTGTTGAGGTCCTCTAACATATCCCCTCCGCCGAAGGTAAGATACATAGTCTCGCAGGCCGTGAGCAGTAAATGTGTCATGCTCAGGATGCATAGTATTCCACAGCTCACGCAAACGACCCATATATCCCCTTCGAGCTGGGCTACTGGTCTCATAGCATCTCAGCAGGTCATTGGTCTACTCAAAGCGTCCTTGTTCGTTGCGGTCGTCATCGGGCAATCCATCCTTGGGCCCCTCCACCTTGCCTGTGACCCCTCATCCGACGGGGTCGGTTGTGGGGGCCCTCTCGTTCCTCCAAAATTTGGTTTATCGTTTAAATAAAGGCATATTATTATTATTATTATCATTAAAGTAAATATAGACTACCTTTTTTTATTTTTTAACTGTTTTTATATGTATATTAATGTCAATTTTTTTTTTGTTTTTCAAACTTTAGTAATAAGTCTAGTTGTAAGATCTCTCGCATGTAATTACCTCTGTGTGTTTGTGGGATGTACCTTTAAATAAATAAAAATAAATAAATAAATCATTATTATTATTTAAAGAGTGTTAATTTTAATGGCATGCAGACGCATATTATTATTATTATTACTATTATTCCAGAAAATCACAAAAAAAAAAATGGAAAACCCCATCTACATCACAGAACAAAACGTCAAAGATAAAGAAGACGTAGTAAAGAATCATCAAGATCAAAGTGAAGAATCGGATTTTGAATATGAAAATTTTACAGAAATTCCATGAAATTACAATCTTAGAAATCAAAAATGCAACAGGAAGTCTTCATATCTCACCCATGATTAGGTTCTAATTGCAGAAGAAATTATCGACACAATCAGAACACCAGAGAAGCTATAAACAGTAAAGAAAATAAAAAGTGAAAATGTAAATGTACTTTTCCTTATTGATAGGTTACAGACTCACTTTACCTATTCTACTTCCCTAATTATGAAATGGCTATCGTAGCCTGAGAGATTGCGGAATACCAGAGGAACTATGAATAATTTAGGATATTGTAAATTGCAAATTGAGTGGGCAAATCCACTGGATTCACCGGTAAAATGATGGGCATTAACAACTTTATCATCATCAAAGTCCTTCCTTGTGAATACCTCAATAATTTTATTAGGAACAAAATAACATAAAGCTGCGACTAGTCTAAATCGATAGGATTTATGGTCCTGATGAACATACTAAAAATTTCCAGACCTCCCCCTACGGGAACATTGTCAAAATGGCGCCCCCATCTTGAATTTTTGACATTTTTTGCTTAATTGAGGTGTCTCGCATAAATAGAAAAGGAGAGCTTAATTGTAATAAATACAAGTTAGAAAGTAATAAAAAATTACATGCGCGAGCAACTCGTGGCTGCAGTGTAGCCAGATTGCATTATTGCAGAACAAATGTAGACAATACAGATCGAACATTAGGACATCAAAGAAGTGATATATTGTCGAGTGTCTTACGACGCCTTAAATCAGACAGAAGAAGAGCTTTAAAGTGTATGTTAACATCGTTTGGACACTTCGGTAAGTTCAAGTAATTCGTAAAAGTATTAGTTTGCTCTTTGTCGAATTACACGTTAAAATGAAAGAAGGAACGATTAATTCTGAACTCGTTTCTGAATACGAATATGACGCAAGCCCGTAAAAAACTCGATTCCTATTGGATGCTCACCTGCAACCCACGAGTTGCGCGCGCACACCAGATATTAGGAGACACGTCAATTTACGTTTTACTCGAAAACTACTCATTTTTCAAGAAAATATGAAGAGGAATGAATTGGAGAGCACAAAAACCCTTTAAAAAGAGTTATCTTTGAACTGGGTACTACCCTTAGTGAGATAGAAGCCGAAGAAGTACCGCCGAAATACCGCTTTCCACATGCAAGCTAATATAACTTGAATGTTTTTGCGTTTTGTAGGAAATTTGATGTAAATCCCTTTTAAACGCTCCAGAATAGCTTTTCCGTTACACTTTTATGGAAATTTTATTGTTTTATACAAAAAATTCGATTAACAAAACATAATATTACTAACATGTATTCCACCTACATACAATGCGTTTTTATTCTCATCAAATTTTACCGATGGATCCACCATTTTATGGCCGTGATTGTCATTTTCCATTCACTAAACAAAGATAGCTAACTCATCGGTGAAGTCACCGATGAGAATAAAAACGAGGGGATACTACATACATATACATCATATAGAAACTTGTTTACTCTGTTATGATAGGTACAAACATATAACGGCCGAGACAATTTAAGCGAGTTTTTTACAGTTTTGCAGTTGTAGAAGAAGCACTTCTACAACTGCAAAATAAGGCAACCAAAATTGTATTTCATGGAAATGACTAATAATTTTACATAGATAAAAAACGTAAACAATTTGACAAAAATTGACAACTTTACTTTTGTGTCTGTGTCAAGTCAATATAGAGAATATATATAGTGCGAAAAAAGAACAGCGTGCGTTTTTTTTTCGCACGCTGTGTGAAAAACTCAATTTTCAGCGGTAGCATAGCGTGCGAAAAACTCCAATTTCAGAAGCAGTATTAAAAAAAAAACTTTCTTAACTTAATTACATACTAAATAAACTAAATACACTACAACCTGGCCTAGTTACATTTCTTCATCGTACTCAGTATTGTTGGAAGAACTTTCTTGAAGAATATTTTCGCAGGAATTTCCCTGGCAAGAACCGCACAAATTTGAGCAAAAACGCTTGATTTTTTGCAACTACATTGCTTCGTGCATCCCGTTTTGCAGTTACAAAAAATCATTCTTAAGATAAATTCTGGAGCTACCTTTTGTTCAATTGTAATAGGATGTAGCTCTTCATTTACATCTTTCCATCCCCCTTCCAATAGATCAGGAGAGTAAGCCCAACCACTCTTGTATTTGAAAATAAATTCTGGAGATATGGAATTTTGCGGCATCTTTGGTGGGGGGAAGAGCAGCCAAATTAAAGTTTGTGCTAATATTTTGCCTAGTGGTGATAGCATTGTATTTTTTGAATCTAAGTTCATCCAATGTTATTGTTGATGTGTCTCCGTAAAGGGATACTAAGAAGCGCTCACCATCTTTTACTATATCATCCTTGGCTGTTTTCGGATTGTAGAAAATAGGAACATCGTTTCTTAAGTCAGGAAGCTTCTCTAAAAGTTGAAGAACTTTGATTTTTCCTATTTTGTACAAACCACTCATAGTATCGCAACCCCCTGCGGCGTGAATGAAGAAAATTTTTTTCAAAATGGATTTTATTTTGTTCTGTATATCGAAAATTTTAGTTATTCTATTTGGGGTGCCTTGCCTTACAGGTCTCATCGTGAAAACATTTTCTTTTTTTGAAAAATGCAATACTAGGATTAGAAGATCAGTATCTTCGCCAACTAATATTACGTTACCATTCTCTTCAGTCGCAATTACAGTTTTAGTGACAATATCACAATCTGCATTCCCTACAGATTGTATTACATTGATTCGTTTGGAACGAAGATTGTCAACTAACATCTTGATAAATGCTTTCTTGTTTTTCACATTACTCAGAAACTGTTCCTGATTTATGCTGGCGAGTCCGGTGCCGCTGATTTCTATATTTGGACTACCTGACTTTCTGCTGCGTCTATTTTGTTCCTGTTTTTTTGTGTCTTCACAGTCGCAGCCATCAAATACTACAATACAGTTTGTCCCATAGTGGTATGTGATGTATTTGTAATATTGATCAAAAATACTGCTATACGTAGAGGGAATTTGCCAAATCAATTGTGAATTATCAAGCCTCCATCAATGACATAAGTGGTATTGTCTGGAATCATATGGGAAGGAGGACACTTTTTGTCCAAGTACTGGAAAAATGCTGATTTTGTGATTTTTCTTAAAATTCCTTCATGAAAGAGGGAAGCTGGATAAGGTGCTAGCTCATATTTAAAGCAGTCTTTAAGATGTGCTTCTGATTTGTAGCTACATATGATTCTGTTGAAAAGTTGTGTCGTATTAACGGGCATCATCTCGTTTCCGTACGTTTTGACTCTTTTACTGAGAAAAGCTAGTGATTTAACTTTGTCGTTTTTTCTGAGTTTGATATCTTGAAAGTTATTGCCAAGCATTTTTTCAAATAGGTTTTCACCTACCACCAATGCTTCATCGCAATTAATATCGTATGTGGCTACCATTCCAGTATTTAGCGAAATCAACTCTGAGCTAGAGCGTCTAAACGGGGATTGGTTTCTTAACCAGTCAGACATCTGCTCCAAATCTCTGGAATCATAGAATTTTCTTGATGGTCGGAGTTCAACGTATTGATCAGATGTCATGGACTTAACTTCAACCAGATTTTCGAGAGACTCGCAGACTTTAGCACAGTGTGGCGCAAAGAGTACCCACTGTGATACCACGTTACTGTTAAGCCCTCGACCATGAGTCAAGTCGGTTTTGAGAGATCGCATCAAAACTTGCTCAATGGACATGTCGGTCCACATACCTGAGCAAAACTTATTTGTTCTGCGAATGGAAAAAACAATAAGAAACTTTTGATACTCATTTGCATTACTAGAATTTTTCATGACAAGCATTTTTTGCAAGTACAGATGGGAGGACTTAGCATAATTGAGATGACCTGTGGAATGAAAAATTGGAATCATTTTTTCTACACAGTATAAATGTAGATCAAACTGCCCCGTTCTTTCTGCACAAATAAATAGTTTAACCAGGTTTATGAGTTTGATATATTGACACCAAAGTTTGCAATTTCTACTTCTTCGAGATTCCTCTTCTAGAAGGGCACTTATAATGGTGGTACATTTTTCTAATTCGGAGGTCATCTCGGCGTCTTCGTTGGAGAAAGAATGAGGACTTTTGAAAGCGTTTGGGTTCAACTCATCGATGTTTTGATGCCTAAGAAGATCAAATAATAGAGCTAGATGTGCTATGAAATGTGCTCTCAAAGATCAAGCATAAGAATGTCCTGCTGACATAGATGGAATACTGTTCTTAGCAAAAACTGTTTCCCACATATCTTCCAGCCCACTATTACTCATTATGTATCCAATTGATCCAAGGAACGACATCAATAGATGAAATCCGCCCAGACGGACAAATATATTTTTGAGAGGACTGCCAGGTGGAGCGGTGGAGCTCTATTGCGTCAGTCGCTTTAAGAAAAAGAGGCTGGTCGAAAGTCACAGAGCATAGACCCTGGGGATGCCTAGTAGACATTTTTTGTGCAAAAAGTAGAGCAGAGTGGAGAGTAGTGAGATTGCCTGGATCAAGATTATTCATAGGCAGCGAGACTACTGATGTTGTTTCAAAATGCCCCGAGACTGCATTTGCCATGTATCCGTTCCATGAGGCTTTGTTATCCAAATCAAACAAAAATGTTGCCAAGCACAGTTTCGAAGAGATATTTCCGTTAATTTAGACTGAGCAACCCCAAAGCGTATATCTACAATGGTTAGATCTTTCAGACCATTTCTTGACTTTTGATATGTAGAAATTGGATACTGTGATTTTGAGAAGGAGAAACACAAACGATACCACCCAAGCTGTGTAAGGTTCCCTTACCATCTAGGGTCTTAAATAGGTGTTAAAATCTGCGTTGTCAAAAACAAACTGGCAAAATGTGTCTGTAGGAAACTGATAGTTATTCAGAGATGATGTTGTTGCTTCATATTTTAGTACTTCTTTATAAGTAACCGAAAATCCCAATGCGATTAGAATTCTCATTCCAGACTTGTTGTGAATATAAACTCCTAAGCCCAAAAAAATTGGAGAAAGGTATGACCTAGGCCTTACAAAGGACGTCAATAAGTTGGCTGCAGTTAGAATTCTTTTGTCGGAAGCTAGTTTGTTACATAACTGGGTCAAAAATGTAAGTAACAATTCGGGAAGTTCGTCAAGACCTCCATTTTCGATGAATTCATTAGACGGTTATTCATCTAAATTGAAGGCTTTTGAACGTATTTCCTCTCGCAAGATCTTAGCACAAGCTTTAATAGTGGATTCTTTTTGCTCATTTTCCCCTGTATAATTTAGAATTATATTTTTTTCCACAAATTCGATACATGAGCCTTTGAAGCAAAACATTGCAGGTTTTGGCACCGATTCAAACACCACAACTTCCTCTCTATAATGATCTAATATTTTTTTTTGAGAAATTTAGAGGAAACTGAGACATTTTGCGGTAGAAATTCGTTAATTTTAGCGGTAATTCAGTAAAACTGGCATTTTTCTTCTCTGTTTCTATCGATGTAATGAAAAAGGTTATTTAAGCCTTCGGCAAGAGTTTCGTCTCCAGGACGGCCAGGAGCATTTAATGTTTTTGCCTTGTGAAAGACAAATAACATTCTGAATGGTATCTGGCTTCCGCAGCAACTAGATCCAAGCAACCAATTACCCTAAACTCAACTTGCTGTGACCAGGAATCATTTTTTTTTCTGCAGTACCTTAAAATCGTTTCCTTTATGCCCATCGTAATTACAACCGTGAATTTTTTTATCTTCAATGAACATATCCTTCCACAAAAGAGATAGTGTACTTGACAATTAAACTCTTGGGAAATGGAGCCTCTTGGTGGAGGGTAAAGCTGTTGTATCATTGTTTTTGTTTTGGATGTTCAGTTGGAAAGCCGTGATACTACGGTTTCGAGTATAATCTCTTCGACGCTTCACGTGGACCTTTATTTCGGTTTTATCTAGAAATGCGGAGAGTTTTTCATCGTTACGTCGACGACTAGCACTTGCAATTGTCTGGATGCCTTTTTTTTTTAACTGTGACTACTGTTGGGGTGCCCAAGTTTTGGTCGCAGATGGAGCAGTTTTCCATGTTGATCTAAAAATAAACAATGTAATATTCAACTATTAATCTAAAATATATGGAAAAAGAGCTTATGGTAGGCATGAGAAAATGGAGTAAAAATAACATAGGTACCTTTTTTTCCTTCCAATTGCGCGTATCGTGGGCCTATGAACATCACATTGAAACATTTGAGGAGCGCGGAGTGACAGCGTAGCAGCTACTTTCTGGATTGAATAGATAACCAAAAGAAAATATGAGAAGTAGTGGGGAGCTAAAATATGCTATCTGGATTTTTTTATATCCGATAACTCTCCATACATATAGACAATAGATAAACAAAGATGATATGACATGAAGTTACTGGAGAACTTGCCTACCTTTTCTAAACCTATATCCTTGGAATTCAGTCAATCACACTAGACCCTGCACAGGATAATAAAAAAAACACATTTCAAACCCACACTATTCTCGTATTTCGGTAAGGGCGATAGTCGAGTCAGCTGTTTGCGGTGGTTCGTAATCGTATCACTCATAGTACGCCCACTATGTTATGTAATGACTGGAAGTCAAGAAAACACACCTGAGGATTTTTAATAAATGCCGTGAAAGGTGTTTTTACTAGCGTGCGGATAAGCCCACTTTCCGCACGTATTTCAGTTTTGAAAGTGTCAGTTTTGCGCATTACTTTTCCGCACTGGTGCGGAAAGGGAAAATATTCAAAATTGTATGTGAAATTAGTAGAGGTACAAGTATCAATTTTCATCTAGCACAAAAAATATCGTTCCATACTCGTGCGGAAAGTCTCTTTTCCGCACTTGATTGCTTGGCAGAACTCCGCTTCGCATCGTTCGGCCAACTGTAATCGCGTGCGGAAAAGTGACACTTTCCGCAAGCGATTACTCATATCAGAAATATGTTTTAAGTCACGTACTTGAAAATTCCTGCTAATGCTTTTCTCTCAAAAAGAAAAATAAAAAAATCCTATGTCGGCGGTACTCCATCGGCTCCTAGCTTGGCAAGGGTACTACCGCGGATGTTCAATGGTACCTATGTACCTCAGATTTAATTCTTCGATTTCCGTCTCTTTATATTTCCTTAAAAGTGAGTGGTCTATGAGTAAAATGAAAATTAGGCAAAAAATTGTTTTTTGACAGTACTTCTTAACCTCCTATCTCAGTAAGGGTAGTACCGAAGAAGTCCAATAATAACTTTTTTGAAGGTTTTTTGTGCTATTCAATTTATCTCTCTTCATATTTTCTCGAAAAATTAGTAGTTTTTGAGTAAAACGTAAATTAAGCAAAAAATTTCAAAAATCCAAGATGGCGGCGCCCTTTTGACAATGTTCCCCTAGGGCAGTGGTTCCCAACCTTGAGAGTAGCGCGGATCAAATTTGCCAAATCAGAATTTGCGCGGACCACTAGCGGCGTACCTACCTAGACTGGAACCTTGGGGTGGGGGAGGGGGATACAAAGATGAAGGAAGCTCGCCGCCGGAGTTAGATTTTTTTTCTGTTACAACAACCAAAAACGTTCATTTTGATTATTTTAAGCCTCAAAACAGTTCATTGAAGTGTTCATTTATATTCTATTTCGTCAGAGCTGCCATGATGAATTGGCGTGTTCGATATGATTATTCCTATGTCGAGTGATCTCGAGCGGATTCGTGACGTTATTACTATTTTTGAAAACAATTCTAGAGAATAATCTAAAGCACTCATAATTTTAAAGATACTTTAGGCAGGTGACACACTGGAGAAATGAGTTTTTTGAAACTTGTTCCAAGAAACTAACGACACATACCGGAGCACACAGTCGTTTCTGAAACAGGAGAGCAGAAATTGTTTCGCCAGTGTGCTCCGACTCATTTGAATGTATGTGTAGTGTGATAATGGAACAAACCTGTTTCTTGCAACAAGTTTCATGAAACTTATTTCTCCATTGTGTCACCTGCCTTAAATACGAATATTTTTAGATTGATCGAAAAAAAAAAAAACAAAAAAAATATATATATATATATATTTTTTCAAAACAACAATGTTTTAGAATTTGTCTTTTTTTTGTATGTAGTTCGCGAACCACTTCAAGTTTTCTCACGGACCACCTAAGGCCCGCGGACCACCGGTTGGGAACCACTGCCCTAGGGGGAGGTCTGGGGACTTTTAGTATATTCATCAGGACCATAAATCCTATCGATTGAGACTAGTCGCAACCTTACGTTATTTTGTTCCCAATTCACCATATAAGAATTTTTAACTGTCTTGGAGTAAAGGGTTTGTTTGTGTGGAAAGTGGAACTAAATTTTCCATTTTTGGTTGAACCATCTGCGCTAAGTCAGCAATTTCAGTGGTGAACTAGCTCATCCAAGCTTGTCCGATATAATTTTAAAAAAATTACAATAAATCTGCACAAAAAGCTTTATGACGTTGATATCGAATGGTAGTTATTTCAGTTTCTATATTTACATTCAGACTCAAAATCAGCGTAAATAATAAAAGGAGCTGCTTGTTTATGGATAAAGTTTATAACTCAAAATTACCCCTCACACGTGCAGTTCGAAGGCTGCTGTATCAGTGAATCTTTGTTTATAGATTCTCAGATATCGATCTTCTAAACGATAACTAAACTTGGGATATTGTGAAGTCACCAGAAAACGTAAAAGCACTACCATGTAAATGGGTGTACAGGCTTAAAACCAATCCTGATGGTTTCATTGATCGTTATGAAGCAAGGCTAGTCATCTGAGCCTTTAATCAAAGAGGAGGCATTGATTTCATTGACACTTCCAGTCCTGTTACAAGACTTAAAACAGTACGATCGATTTCGAGTATTGCAGCAAGCGAAAATATAATATTGCGGTAGTTTGATATATCAAGTGCATGTCTTTATAGAGAACTACAGGAGCTCATCTTTATGGAACAATCACATGGTTCCAACAGGAAATGACCAAGTTTGCAAGTTGAGGAAAACCTTATATGGTTCAAGACAAGCTCCACGTGGTACACAAGAATCAACACATTTCTTGAAAAATTAGGTTGAGAACCTCGGAAAATTCTTCATCAAAATATGCTACATGACTAGAAATAGTCTTTAAATATCTTTCGGGAATAATTCACGTGGATATCGGCTACATGCACCGAATTTCTTGGGGCCTGGAATAGAAAAATTGTAGAATGTACCTTGTTTAGTTCGTAGTGTTTTTATCAATAAAAACGCTACGAACTGATGCATCAACCCATAATAATTTAGAAACAATATTGAGTTTTAATGTTTCTAAATCAATTCGGAATGGACGCAAATAAATTTCAAGCGTCTAAATTTCGACTAAGTATTTGCCGTTCCCAATTTTTTTTTTGCATACACGTGACCCTATTATACAAAATAAAAACAAGTTTTACACACAAAACCTACATTATCAAATATCGGTACAAAGTTTATTTTACAACAAATATAACATTTTTTACAGGTTTGTGAACTTATCGACCAATGCGGCCTGGTAGTAGTTCAAGCGTACATGAATCATATACAAACAAACGCAGAAATAGCTGTGCGAGACATGCTACGTGAAGTAGCCAAGGACGCAGTAGCTAGAACTGGCAGTGCGCAGCTACAATACGTAGACTATATGGACAACGGGTCTCCGATAAGCCTCAAGGTGTCTTTGGACGAGAAATCTGGCTCTGCTTTTTGCGATTTTGGGTAAGAGTCATAAGTAGTTGTATTTAGAGTTTGTGATTGTCATTGTTGGTAGATATTCAGTGGGTACATTTTAATCAATTTTGAACCATCTAACTAGAGTTAAATTGACTAATTCTATAATTTTCTAGACAATTATTCTCTTATAAGATCTCTCGATAAACATTAACTTGTCATATGAAATTTCACAGAGGGAACTTGACGATTTCTTAAACTGGCGTAAAGATAATCATTTGGCACTAAACATCGATAAGTGCAAAGTCATGTGTTTCCATAGATCTAAAAATCCACATTATTTCAACTACTTAATAAATGGAATCGAACTTGATAGGGTTTATGTCATTAAGGATTTTGTCATTTTTCTAGATGTTGAATTGAATTTTTCCGAACATATTAAAAGAGTATTGAATCATCGAGGATTTGTAATACACATTAAAAATGATGCGAGGTATCGATGAGTATGCGAGTCCTGTTTGGCCCTCCTTTTATGAAAAACATACCGGTGTGCCATGATTTGATTCTCAAATAAATTTGAAAAATATATATTATCGAATCATTGTTGTAAATTCATATTTTTGATGCAAAGAAAATGTTCCATTAAAAATACAGCTAATTTCTTGAGACAAATTTATCTAGAACCTTACAAACACTAAATATTCACTACAAAAGTCACAAACTATTACTTTCAACTCAAGATACACATTTCAATTTTATCAATAAAAACTTGCTCCTCTTTAACACCCAATAACATGAAAAAAACCTAATCAAAATTATTAATTAATAATGTGATAAATGTCCACTGCAAGATCCTTCTTAGCAGCAAAACAAAGGCCAACTTCCCCTAATTAAAGCTCATAAATTCTTACCGCAAAAACCGCCGGTCGGACCCCGTAGTTTTATTGGCTTTTGTTAAGGCCCGTTTTGGCAAGCAGGACAGCTATCCGAAAACCTTGTCCACACAACTGTCCGCGGTTGTTTCTTCACCACCTAACAAACACTCTGTTAATTTGCAGGGGCTCCGGTACAGAGGTGTGGGGTAATTGCAACGCCCCTAGGGCAGTGACGCTCTCGGCGCTAATTTATTGCCTCAGGTGCATGGTTGGTCACGACGTCCCATTAAATCAGGTATGTGGTTCATTAGACGGGTGTTTATGTGCGTAGCGGGAGTTCGACTTGTATATTAGGATGCTACCCACTTATTTATTTTTTTGTGTAGATTTTTGCATTTTCTCATTGAGAAATTATATTGTTTTTCTAGCATTGAAATTCGTTTTACTATTCGGTATGTAGGAAGTGGTGAAAGAAGACTAATAGTAAGTTATCAGAAACTTCCTAACTTGTCCGGTTCTGACGTCTCGGTTGACCCCTAAATACTTAACTTTATTCTGGGAGAGATATATTAGATTTGATTATATTCAAAGCACTTTGCATTCTGCCTGTTATTATGCCTGTTATTATGCCTTGATGTTTGCATCTGTAAGACAGCAAATCTTCTCTTGCCCGTCACGTTGTTGCGGTTATTTAATTGAAAACAAAAACAAAGAGGGTATGCTAAATTACTGAAATATTATAAGAGAAATAGAAGCTAAGAAACTGACTAATTAAATACAATATTCCATTACAACATAAGATTTATTTTTAAGTGCGCCGCCGAGGTTATGATGTACCCTTACCGTCTATTTATTCAAAAAAAAAACTATTCCAAATATAAAATGGGAAACCAGAGCATTTGGAGTTTACTATTGTGAGATATGATACGTACACTTGCGGCCCACCGCTAACTCAGTCAAGATGGGAGTTGGTTCTTGATTGTGTGAGTGCTGAAATTCTAATAATTAAATGAAGAAATTGATTTTGTACAGATCAAATTACAAGATTTATTGTGCACCAGTAAACAGAGTCTTGAGATAACTAACAAATGGCCTAAAAGTATCTTTAATGGACAAATATATAATATATAGCTTTTTGGGCAGAGTTGTTGCTTGTTCAGCCTTATACTAGGTTCGCTTAAAGTTCCAATTGCACTTTAAACGGGATAATAATGACTTTAATATATTATTGTCTATACGATCTTTTGTACCGAAGTGTGAGTTTCCTCCACACATTATGCAAACATAATGAGCAAATGCAACTTAGGTTAGTCTAATTATGCTTGTTTAATTTGATATGAAATTAGTACCAGTAAAAGGGAAATTCCCACAGCGAGGTACTTATCGTTTTTTTCTGATAACTTCGGAAGTTCCAAGCTTGTCGGTCTAAGGAGTTAGGTCAGGGAGATCTTTGAGATGCTTCCATAGGAAGATTTTCTAACCAGTCTGGCACTTGGTATCCACATAAGCTGGAAGGCACCGCGAACCGCGGACTACGGCCAAATTTCAATATAAATTGGAAGGGCAAACCACCTGGACATCACCACCAATAAAACCATGTGGAGGAATCTTGGTCGCTGAGAGGCCCTTGGAGGATTCTCCAAAGTGGCTGTATTGGATACAGGGGTATAGAGAACCGTCAGATCCTGTCGCACAAATCCCACAATAGTGGATAATCGTCTCTAATTTGAGCAATTCAGCCCTTATGTGCGATTTCTCGATTCAAAACCACCTGGTTACCTTGTCGTTTTCTACCAGACTTCCCGTCTACCGCACCCAACATCAAGGACTTGGCGTAGGAAAACGCGCCTAGTTTAAAAATAAGTGTTAGTAGCACAAGACAAACGTCCCTTCAAGAAATAACCAATAATCATATCTTGTCCTCTTATTAAATAGGTACTTCGAATAAATCGATCCCACATGAAAACACGGACACAAAATCCATAAAATCTCTGAATTTTCCAAATACTTAATGGAAATATGACGCATTGACGCCATCTACCAGCACAATCAAATTTTCAACATAGTACCGAGCAATATTCTACCGATAGTACCAGCGGCGACAACTATTGATGAACCCCAAAAATTACCGAAAAATAGTTGGGAGTCGATTGCAAGCGTTTTAGCAACAAAATACTTAATTATCAACAACCGCTGTTGCTACAATGCCAAGTACCATGAAAGGTACCCGAAACTTGATGGGCGCATATCGACCAAAATATCGGTTGCTGCGGAAGGACAGTGCCGTACCAGAATATAATCATATGAAGAGGTTAATAATAATATATATGTCTGAAATTGTCACAAGGAAATTTATGAACGTAACAACTCCCCTCTTTCCCACGTGAGAAAAATTTCAATGAAATTTTTCTCAAGATGCGTTCAACATACAATAAGGGAAGACAAAAAAAAAATCGTGTTGTGGTTGAAGCACTAGTCATCCGGTGGTATATCTGTGGTTACAGGTTTAAGACCCTGAACACGCAAAACTCCCACCTTCTTTCCATTAGGACCTTCAAGCCCGTACGATAGAGGTGAAACCTTCGTACAGACATTGAAAGGACCAACCTATTTAGGTGCCAATTTCGAAGTGAATGCATTGGCAGCATTTGATAGAACATGCTTTTTATAGTATACAAGGTCCCCCACTGTATATTGAGTAGGCCGCCGACGCAAATTATAACGAGCCTTGGTCCTATTGTGCGCCTGTTTGATTCTACGACCGATGTCCACGAACACCTCCTTCAAAAGATCACCACGGCTGGTATCAGCAAAATTCACTGGATCTGTCTTCGATATATCATTTCTATGTAGTTCCCCAGACAAAATATGCTCCCTTCCAAATACGATAAAAAATGGCGTAACGTTAGTCACGGCTAACACTAGTGTTAAACGCGCAAGTAACTTTCCGCAAAAGTTTGTCCCATTTACGCTGATTTTCGATGGTTTTAATGGTTCGGTGAGCCCGCTCTACAGGATTAGCCTGTGGGTGATAAACGGCATTGAACAAGATTTTGGTTTTATACTACTCACACAACCCAGTGAATTCTCGGCTCTCAAATTGCACACCGTTATCGCATATAAGAAATTTAGGAAGACCATACTCCAGGAAGACATACTCCTCAATCAAGGACGAGACCATCGAGGTGGTCGCGGAACGCATAAAGAAAAGAATGATATACTTCGAAAGATAATCCGACACCGACAAGATGAAACGGTAACCCCGCGAAGATCTGGGCAATGGCCCAACTATGTCTACACAAATCATCTGAAAAGATCTCACGACGTCGGGTCGTTTACCCATTGGCCTAGCAGGGGTTTGATGCTAGCTCTTGTGTTTGGCACATACTGAGCAACGCTTAACATATGCTGTTACATCCATGCGCATGCGCGGCCAATAATATTTCGACTTAATACGCTCGAAGGTTTTAAATATACCCTTGGTAGAATCGTGAAACTCCGCTACAATATTCCGCCGAAGTTCCTTAGGAACTACTTCACGCCATGCATCAAACTTACTGTGCAATCCCGGATATTTGCAGGGAACATGTTTATAAACTTTCTCGGATTCAAATCTCCAGTCAGGAAATTTTAAAGGATGTTCAAGAATCTGCTGTCTCTGGCGAACAAACCAACGGTCTTTAACATCGACAGACACCGCAGTTGCAGAATTCACAATTTTCCTTTCCCTTTCGATGTTTTATCTCGAAGTCAAGGCTCTGAAGACGAAGAGCCCAACTAGCCAATCTCCCGGAAGGCTCCTTAAGATTATGTAGCCAAATAAGCGAATGATGATCGGTGATCACTGTGAACCTATACCCCTCCAGGTATGACCTTAGATATTTAATGGACCAAATAATCGCCAGAAGTTCTCTTTCGGTAGCTGAATAATTGCGCTCGGCACGCGACTAGGACCAGGAAATATAACAGATGACCTTAGTATCCTCTTCGTGTTGCTGAAGAAGAGCAGCACCAATTCCAAACAAACTAGCATCCGTCTCGACTATAAAAGGCTTTGAAAAATTCGGACAACTCAAAATGGGTGCGGAAGAGAGACACTCTTTAAGATACTTGAAAGCATCTTCACACTCAGATGACCAACTCCAAGAGTGACCTTTCTTCAATAAGTCCGTCATGGGAGCTGTTTTGGTGGAAAAATTGGGGATGAAGCGCCGATAATAGCTGGCAGTTCTTCGAACCTCGGTAACATTCCTTGGAGTAGGAATATTTACGATTGCCCTAAGCTTATCAGTGTCCACAGACAGACCTTTTTCGTTGACCATATATCCCAAGTATTTCAACTCTGAACGACAGAACTTACTCTTTTCTGGAGATATAGTCAACCCAGCCTTCAACAAGCGGCAAAATACAGATTCTAAGATTTGTAGATGTCGTTCAAAGGTATCCGCCACGCAAACACGTCATCAAGATAACTGAAATAGTATGGCTCCAAAGTTGGATCGATAAGTTTATCCATCAATTTCTGGAAGGTAGCAGGACTATTTGTCCAAAGGGCATCCTGGTGAATTTAAAGTGACCTCTTCCAGGTATGGCAAACGCCGTATACTCTCGAGAGGATTTTTCCACTGGAACTTGCCAGAAAGCCGAATTTAAATCAATCGAACTCAAGTATTTAGCATTCCGCAATTTGTCAAGAATATTATTTATAAAAGGGATCGGGTAAGCTACCTTTTTGGAATGCTTATTGAGTTGCCGATAATCGACCACGAAACGCCAACCACCATCGGATTTTGAGATTAGTAACACAGGAGATGACCAAGGCGACCCCGATGGTTCGATGTCCCCCATCTCCAACATCTTGTTTAACTCCGCATCGATACGCTGTTGCACAATAGGTGAGACTCGATAAGCCCTCTGTCGAAGTGGCTCAGAACTAACCTCTATGCGATGTTCGACCAGTTCGGTCTTTCCTAAACCTTTACTCAACAAGGGTAGATACTTCCCTGTCAACTCATCTAATTGCTTACGCTAATCAACAGTAAGGTGTTCGTGTGAAACCACTACATACACTATAGCTATATTCTCATCTTCAAATTCCTCTGGCGTAACAAACTCGAATTCATATGTGCCCCTGCCGTGGTTAGGTAACAAACCCATTTTCTTGAAAAAGTCAACCCCCAAGATTAAATTATGCGGTAAGTCTGGTGCCACTAAGACATCCAATGAAATTTCACGGTCTTTCAACCGTAAGGAAAGTTTGGCAATTACCAAGATTGGACACGAATCATTGTTAGCAACCACGCAATAAGAAATTGGAGAAGGCTTCACCTGAAAACCCAATTCTAGCAACTGTTTCCAACCGTGGTCACCAAGAATGGTATTGTTTGCGCCACTATCCAGGAGGCTAGAGATTTTCTGTCCACACACGTCGATTTCCAAAAACGGATGATTATCACGTTCACAGTTGGAAAATAAATATGAAACCTTCGAGTTGATCACAGATGTCTGAACCGCCGCCACGTGATCAATCAGCAACGGCCTGACGCGTCTCCCGAACAATTACAACGGTTTCGGGTAACACCCATTTGACCACATCCACTACACTTTATGACCTGGTCGCAAGTTCTTAAAGTATGGCCTGGTTTATGACAATTGAAACAGATAACAAATGCACCTCGACTCTGCAACCGCTTAGCCTTTGGATCTTGACGAAGATGCTCATGCTGTGAATTTATGATATTGATATTGGCATCAGTACTGACCAATGGGTTGTCCTCATCAGTATGAAGGGTCTGGGCCTCCATGGATGCCGAACCAGAACCTTTTAGGCCAATAAGTTCCGCTTGACCTCCCTTAGAAATACAACTAACACGGGGTGTGCTAGACTGAGGACGTCGAACAGCGAGACTAGGCTCTACGAAAGCTTGAGGATTGGTAGGTGGTGCAACATATTAACGCGCTCGCCAATGAGCCTCTTCGATCATACGCCCAAGTCTCAACAACTCATCAATGGTAACAACATCATACAATGCCATCTGCAAGTAGGGCAGCATATTCTTCTTAATAATGTTAACCCGTTCCTGCTCAGGTGGTAAGCTGGACAGTTTCAGGAATATACTTTCCATAAGGGATAAATAAGAAACCAACTTCTCATCCTGGTGCTGCATGCGTCGACGAATATCGTCCCATAATGTGAGCTCATATCCATGAGGCAAAAAATTATTCCTCAATGATCGTGTCAGATGATCTCAATTTTGGAAAAGGTGTTTACGTGGTCTGTACCACAGAAGAGGTTTCCCCCTAAAGAACTCAACTGCGGCCTGAAATAACTGTTTTTTTGTGACTTCGCGTGATTCCCGCAAGTCCTCAACCCTCTCCAGGAACGAAGTGACACTACCAGAGCCATAAAAAAAACACATTCCATTTACTGATGGGTAGAAGATACTTAATCTCCAAACGATTTAGATGTTGGGTTGCAGGGGTGTAACAGTGACAATGACAATGACAAGCTGATATTCCGGAATGTGGAAAGCCAAGGTTACCCTGAGACATATTACGGGGATTGGGTGATGAGACACGATTTTGATTGCTCCGAGACCCACTGTGATGACAATCGAAGAGATTAGGTGACGAGTCATGATTTTGACTATCCTGCGTGCTATGAATATAAGCATTGGGATTAAGTGGCCAAACACTATTAGTGTTGCTCAAGGTATTTACGGGACCTTGAATGAAGGATACCCGCTAATTCAGTACTGAGTAATTTGTCGCACTCATCGTATTTTGATTTATTTCATGATCAATTATTCCGTCAACAGGTGGATCAGGGTTTAAGACACCATTAACATCCATATCTGAGGGATGCCTCTCCGTTAGCAACTCTTGAGCTGACCTGGAGTGTATTTGGACCGCTCCAGGTTGATTTGGAATATTTGAAGACTCAGAGATATTGATAGAGTGAGATATTATCCTTCTATCCGAAACATTTGAGTAACGATCATTGGGTAGATAACCACGACGAATCTCATTTATCATGTTCGTTAGCGGAGGATCTCCCGGTTGACTTATAAACACACGGTCTAAATAAATGAAAAGCTGTCTACATTTCAACAATAAATTATCAACTCTTGTGATTCTGTATCTGGCAAAACCCTCTTCAACCTACCCTCAATGTGCATAAGACGAGTTTGAATTTGTGCATACTCGTTAAGTTTCTTGTTATGGTTGAAGTTTCAATACAGTCGAATAGCTCATCCACTTTATCAGAACACTCCAATCGTGGATCAAACTCTATTCTAGAATTAACAGGGTTATTTTCCCTTCCTGGTCACCATGCAATCTGTTGATATCCATGATGAAATATAATACCTATATAAATATTTCTATATACATATATATGAAAACTTGAATTTGATTCCAATCGATCAAAATATAGAGACACTATATTACCTCCCCCCCTCCAAAAGGAAGCGAACCGAAATAAAATAACAAGGTAAGTAGGTACTACCAATAAAGTAAAAGAGAAAACAGTAAAGGATAATAAATCCAAAAAAAAAATAAAAATTAGAAGTAAATAATTTTAAAAAAAACATTCACCACCTACAATCAAAGGCAATGAGATTTATCAATGAAAATGATAATCCTAAACGAACCCGCTATCTCTGAAAAACAACGTGTTGATGCCTTGCGATAATGGCGAATCATACAGTGTTACTCGAAACCAAATGGTGCACTTTCCAGGCAACGACCCGGACAGACGACAAATGAACTTGCTTGGAGTCCGAAACATGGGACCCGGGAGAAGATAATAGGATTGATTGTCAGTGACAGTACAACTAGCTCCGTCTGTGATCAAAAGCTTAGTATTATAGTATCTGGCGACAGTAGTAGGACGCCCGTGTGGACTTCTTCTGCAGTGATAATGACTCATGGATTCATCTTAATTTTTTTTTTTTTTCAGCCTTATTTTGAATATACAAACTTCGCTTCCATAAACAAATATAAAACAAGTTACATATGTTTCTCAACAAAATGATTGTTCAAGTAAAAACAGTTATCGAACCGCTGTCATTCCCCAAAAATATTCTCACCCTTTATTTGCGATCCAAATATTTCCGCAAGAGAAAAAATAAAAACGAAAACTCCGTCTACCAGCTCCCGGAAATTGAGTTTTTTCCATATATGTAACAGGTACATCGGACATACCATTCGGAAATTAAAAAAGTTAATATATACGAATGCATTTTGGCATTGTTTGGTTACCCCGTCATCAAGTAATTTATTTCGTGGAGGTTAAATTGCTAATAGAGAGTTTTTGATATCGTGGGATGAAAGCATGAATCATTCAATGAAGCTATCATTATTTTTTAAATAATCTGTAAACTGTATACCTGTTGAATTTGACATATTTGAAAAAAAAAAAATACAGAAAATGGATTAGTTTTTAGAAAAGAGAAGTTCTATTAATGATGGATTTGAGAATTTCGGTTAGTGCTATTTCAAAAAATAATGTAATTTAGTCCCGACCCTAAAAGCCCTTTAACTTTTTTTTAAATATAAATTACGTTTTGTGAATAAACATGGAATTTCCATTAATTATGCACACTTGAAATCTACAATATAACTGCACTGTTCGACAAAAAATGAATTACATATTTTAGTTTATACTGAAAGCATGCACACAAAAGCTAATTAATGGCTAAATAAATATACTTTAACCTCCTGTTTGTTTTTCTATCAAAAATTAAAATAAACAGGGCACTATTTAATATATATATTTTTTTTTGTATTAATTTTACAGGGATGTTTAGCTCCAGTCAAAGTCAACATACCAAAAGGTTCTCTTCTAGATCCTAGCGACAATGCAGCTGTAGTGGGAGGTAACGTCCTAACGTCACAACGTATAGTAGATGTGGTTTTGGGGGCGTTCAGAGTGTGTGCAGCTTCACAGGGTTGCATGAATAACATTACCTTCGGTAATCAATATTGGGGATGTTATGAGACTGTTGCTGGAGGTAGTGGAGCGGTAAGTAGAATATCATGTAAGGTGTTCTATTCTTATTCGTTCTTGAATTATGGATTCTTCTCTATATCAGGTAAATAGCCTGTAGCTTTCGTTCGCTTCTTTAACTCTGGTCAAAGACCATGTCCTTGGCATTGATCGCAGTCGCGTACTTTCATATTATTTCCTGAAGGACGTGTTGTTGCTCCAAGATCCTATTGTTCAGTGAGAAAAATTAGAGGTTTTGGAGTATCGTTGAAAAGCTGGATCCATAATGAATTGTTAAGGGGTTTTCATTCGGGCCTAATAGGCATCGTAAGTTGGAATTTCTTCCTGACGTTTCGCTAGCACGCGTGGCTAGCATCTTCAAAGGTGCTTCCATGTTCGATTCTGGTAGCAGACTGACGCGTTCCCGACCGTAAGTTGTATTTAGGTGTGAGTGGATGTGGTAGGGGAAGGGGCGGGGCTTCGCGGCACATGTCTAATCTTATCTTTCTCTGTACTCAATGGGATCTTTCTTGCGTTTCTGAGGACCGGGTTCCAGATTTAGTTAAGTTTTAGTGTTTCTTCTTTCCTGTTAAAGTTCTCCGTATGTTTGTGGATTTCTATAGCTTCACGTACAAGACGATTGTGATATCCAGAAGTCGGTGCAAGGAGCTTGACCTCATCAAAGAGTATTTCATGATCTTTCTGTCGTTCCTATATATACCTTACCACATGTGCATGGTATGCGATAGACTCCAGCGCTTGACATTGGGTTCCTCTTATCCTTGGCTGATCTGATTGATTGCTATATTTTCCTTATTGGCTTGAAGATTCTTTTTATGTTGTGTTTTTTCAATACTTTCTCTATCCTGTCTGTCACGCCGAGAAATGAATTAGCTACCAGTGGGTGTTCATCCACGTTTTGTCATGTGGCAGTTTTGGTTAGCATGGCGCTGTCGATTTCAGATGCATTGTAACCATTTGATAGAACGGCCGACTTGAGATGATCCAGTTCTTGCTCGAGATATTGTGGCTCGCAGATGTTCCGAACACGTTCTGTTAACGTTGTTATAATTCCACGTTTTTGCCTTGGATGGTGGTTTGAGAATGCATGCAGGTACCTGTCTGTGTGTGTAGGTTTTCGATACACCGTGTGGCTTAATTTTCCTTTAGATTTCTTCATGAGCACATCTAAGAAGGCGATTTCTTGGATTATCTCCTTTTCCATGGTAAATTCTAGCTAGGATATTGCTTGTTCAGGTAGCCTAGGAATTGGTTAAGCTTCTCTTCCCCATGACTCCAAACCAGAAAAGTATCATCTACGTATCCAATTTTGTGGTCAAAAGATTCTATAGCTTTCCTCTCGAATTTTTCCATAAAGAAGTTGGCTATGACCGGGTCGAGCGGACTTCCCATAGCTACACCGTCAGTTTGCTCGTAGAAGTCGCAGTTCCACAGGAGGTAACTATCAGTGAGACATGTTCGGAAAAGCTCAACTATGTCATTGGGGAAGGTACTTGGTATCAAGTCAAAAGATTCTGTTTTCAATGGCAATTTTGTGAATAGAATAGGGACACGACATCAAAGCTGACCAGGATATCGTCAGGTTGAAGAATAATATTCCCAATTTTACGGACAAGTTGAGTGGAGTCCTTGACGTAAGAGCTAGTTTTTCCTACATGCGGTTGAAGAAGCGATGTAAGATGTTTCGCTAGGTTGTACGTTGGTGCTCTAGGTGCACTCACTATAGGTCTTAGCGGGACTTCCGGTTTGTAAATTTTGGGTAGGCCGTAGAGTCGTGGTGGAACTGCTTCTGTTTTTATGATGCCTTTCTTAACCGTGTCTGTTAGGGTGAATCAATTTGTTGGTATTCCGGAGTGTGGCTTCTGTGGGATCCTTCTTCAGCTTTCGGTAGGTAGATGGATCAAGGAGTTCCTGAATTTTCTGGTTTTAGTCTTCAGTTCTTAACAGGACAGTTGCGTTGCCCTTGTCCGCAGCATAGAATTTACCATGGGAAAAAAGACAAACAATTAAATCGCCTTTTTAGATGTGCTCATGAAGAAATCTGGAGGAAAATTAGTCCACACGGAGTAATGAAAACCTACACAATCAGACATGCACTCTCAAACCACCATCCAAGGCAAAAACGTGGAATTATAACAACGTTAACAGAACGTGCTCGGAACATCTGTGAGCCACAATATTTCGAGCAAGAACTGGATCATCTCAAGTGGGCCTTTCTATCAAATGGATACAATGCATCTAAAATCGACAGGGCCATGCGACCCAAAACGGACACACGACAAAACGTGTATGAACAACCAGTGGTGGCTAATGCATATCTGCCATTCATTTCTCGGGTGACAGACAGGATAGGGAAAGTCTTGAAGAAACACAACATAAAAACAATCTTCAAGCTAACAAGGAAAATACAGCAATCAATCAGATCAGCCAAGAATAAGTGGAACCCACTGTTAAGCACTTTAGTCTATCGTATACCATGCACATGTGGTAAGGTATACCTAGGAACGACAAAAAGATCCATGGGAACCAGGATGAACGAGCACAAAAGAAACTGCAGACTAGGACAATCGGAAAAATCGGCAGTTGCGAAACATGTGCTTAGTGAAGGGAATCATGAAATACTCTTTGGTGAGGTCAAGCTTCTTGCATCGACTCCCCGATACCACAATCGTCTTGCACGTGAAGCTATAGAAATCCACAAACATACGGAGAACTTCAACAGGAAAGAAGAAACACTAAAACTTAACCAAATCTGGAACCCGATCCTCAAAAACGCAAGAAATATCCCATTGAGTACAGAGAAGCCCCGCCCCTGTCTTACCACAGCCACTCACACATAAATACAACTTACGGTCGGGAACGCGTCAGTTTGCTACCAGAATCGGACATGGAAGCACCCCTGAAGATGCTAACCACGCGTGCTAGCGAAACGTCAGGAAGAAATTCCAACTTACAATGGCCATTAAGCCCGAGTGAAAACCCCTTATTAATAAACCTGGGCCGCGAAAGCCTCGCAAACTTTATCAAAAAAGGTGAAGATAAAAAAGCAAATGCAAACCACCAACTCATCAATAAATTTAACGCGAATATGGAGACTCTCAATCATATCGCAACACAACTAATATACTCGAACTATCGATCGTTATTGTCATTGACTTCATTTCTGACATTTCCTTTTCTATAAGTACCTCCCATTTTGAAGTGAAACAGACGGTCACGCGTCGGTTTTTTTTAGATGGTGATATATAATATACATTGTGGGGCACGAAAAACTTCCCACCCACGTTCTCTCAGGTGTTAGGTGATACATATTAATACATATAATCACCAAAGGGGAAAATCACCTGAGTGGGAAGTTTTTCGTGCCCCACTATGTATTTAAAAACAATTTCAAGATCAACCAAGGTAATGGAGCTAGATGAATCAAGCATAAGTATGTAAAACACATCAAGAAGAATCAACGAGCGGGGAAGAGGTTTTCGACAAGTTTGTTGAATAAAGCCAAATGAGTTATCGGTGATGGAAAACAAGAAGTTTCGCTAGCAGCCCAAGACCAAGAAGGACGGAGAACCAGAATCCGAGCTATTTAGACATAACCAGTTTTAGGTTTTGCCAAGTTTTTTAACTCATTGAGCCACTAGAAGTGAAATATGACATATTTGACCTGAAAAACTTGAAAGACTGAAAACATAGTTTTTATTATCACGAGATTATCGAAATGCCAAATGAGAATGTTTGCGAATCTATCGATTAAATCGGTATAGATAAAATAGACCTTTCTTAATAAGAAAAACTCAACATATTGACTTTGAGAATGAAAGATATATTTCTCTAGTTTGGGCGAGATATCAATTTTATCATTTCCACTACAAATTTGTTCGATGAATATATGGCTGTCATAGCCCGTCAAATTGTGAAAATACACTGGAATGTGGGACGGGATCCGAAAACTCAAGTTGCAGATGCCGTGAGCTGGACGCCTAAATCTACCAGTTGAATGATCAGGATTCTTTACTTTTTCATCTCCAGGCTTGAACTTAGTGCTACTAATACTTCAAATATTACATCTTCTCAATTCAAACTTCTCTTCATGATTCCTCTTCCGATGGATTTAGAAACTAGTAAAAATGATGCTCTTTACCCTGGCGTTAGAAAACATATTCAAAACACTGTCTTAGGAGGCTAGAGGTATTGATGTGAACGAATTCTTCAGTAGCCACATCCATGAACTCGAGGATATGTTAAGTCAACTGAATGAAGCATCGTGAAAATAATGAACCTTTCTAAAACCAAGATGATCAACGATACGGAAAATATTGTAACAAAAAACGATGAAACTTTAGGAAACTTCGATGAAAATGCTCACTTGTGGCATACTATCAAAATTAGCAAAAATAACCAAATTACAAAAATAAAACTCAGGAAGATTTGCATGGGCACTTTTTGGCAAGCTGAACTATATATGGATTAAAAAACAGAGAGATACCAATGAACTTAAAGCCGAAACACTTCGATACATGCCGGTAGCAACCTACGGCTAAGAAACAATAGCAATAACAAAAAGAAGTTCATCAGAGTGATGCAGAAAGCAATGGAGCGCATCATGCTTGGAATCAGTCTAAGAGATAGGATCAAGAATGAGAAAATTCGACGAAGAAATAAAGCCGTGGATATCATGAAGCGTATCTCGGAAAGCAAGTGGCAGTGAGTGGTGCATGTGTTACGGGCTGATCTTCCTGGGCCAAAATAAAAGGAAATAGCGTATTCGCCTCACTGAATAGCATACCTTCGTCAAGCCACTGATTTCTTTCCACACTTTTCTTCAAATTTTTCATTCTTCCCAGAATCATCGAGTTAAAGGTTGAATAATGGAATTGATTTCCTTTTAGTAGGGTTGAAATAAATAGACATTTTTTTTTAAATTTATTTATTTATACATGACCTCAAAACAGTAGCTATCGTACTGGTACCGAGGCCTAATTGATTTTATAATGTTTATAGATAATTTACAATTT